ATTTTTTTTTTTTACGTATCTCTTTCTTTAATTTAATTTTTTTTTGTTGTTAAAATGAATCATATTAAATTGCGGTTGTTAATTTTTTAAAAAATTTATTCTATGAACGGAAATGTTTAAATACTCTATGACAATCGTGATATTTATTGTCGAAAGACTAAAAACTTTTAAGGGAAATTTTTTTTCTGAATTGATTTGTAGGAATGGAAATTTAAAAAAAAATTTTTAAATTGTTTTGTTTGTTTGTTTAACGTTTGTTTCTTATCGAAATTATCAGTTAATTATTTATAATTTTAGGCAAAAAATATTAAATTTAAAAAATTTGTTTGTTTAATTTAAATTTTTTTGTACGAGGTTAAAAGTCAAATAAAAAAATAAATTTAATTGATAAAACGTGTGTCGTCGTCGCGGGTTGTAGATCGGTTGTTGTTGTGGTTGTTGTTGCTCTTGTCGTCGTATTTTTTTTTATAAAAAAATTTAAAGAGGTTAATTTAAATTTATAGTCGTTTTTAGACGCACAAAAAAAGAAATTTATTTTATTTTAAATTAATTTAACGAAAATAAAATTTAAACCCCTTAAATTGTTATTTGATATTTTTTTTAAACATAAATCAAAACGAAAATTTTTTTTCGTTCGTTTGTTTGTTTGTTTGTTTGTTTACTTAAAAACACGTAAATTTATGTCTGACTTATTAAATAATAATAATAATTAAAATTTTTTTAATAATGTAATTCGACATTTTAATATTTTAAACAACCCTAACTCGATTTAAAAATTTAAAAAAAGGATGCGAGTTGTTGTTGTGGTTGTCGTTGTTGTTTGTTTGATAAAAAAAAAAGAAAAAGAAAAGATCTTTTAATAAATTAAGAATAAAAAATATATTTCGATTAATTTTCTGACGGTTGTATATATAAGAAAAAGAAAATGAAATCCGGTTTTAATAATATTTATTATTATTATTATTATTATTATTATTATTATTATTATTATTATTATTATTATTATTATTATTATTATTATTATTATTATTATTATTATTATTATTTTCCATTACATGTCATAAGTTTTTTTGCGTAATATTATGCTCAATGAAAATGCTAAATCATGGCAAGACGTTGATGCTGCTTAATCAGCGATTCCCACGCAAAAATAAACGTTGACGTGTTAAAGTTGTAGCGAGAGCCTGAAAAAAAAAAATTTTTTTTCTTTTTCTTTTTCCTTTTTTTTTCGGTGCGTTTTCATGCGTGTGAAAAACAAAACAAAAACCAAACCATAGAATAAATAAACTAAAAGCTTGAGAGGAAGGAAGGAGGGAATAAAAATTAAAAATTGCAGTATAGGAGAGATTACGATTAATATAATCTCGCTGGATTAAAATTTTTGTTTTTTTTCTCTATGATTTTTCTTTTCGAACGTGTTTGTCCCCCTCCCCCCCCAAAAAAAGAAAAAATTTATGTTTTAGTTACGTGTGGTAGACGAATAGAGTAAAAAAAAAAAAAAAGTAGCCCAAACAATAAACATTAAACTTATGCAAGTGATGCAAAATTTTTTTTTTTTTTTTTTTTTACGTTATTAAATTACTTTTGAGATAAGGGTGCATTTTACCGTTGTTCATAAGAGTTAAACAAAAATAATAACGTGGAAATGGAAAAAAAAAAAAAAAAAAACGTAGAGAATTAAATTAAATCAAAAAATCAACCTTCCTTTTTAACCATCGACGACTTACCCTTTTTTTTTCTCTCCAAATGTTCCAGACTAAATTCCCTGAACATCCAATTAAAAATAAACTTTTTAACAAATTTGTGTCTTTTACTCTCTTTTTATCCCCCTCCCCCTTCCCCCTTCCTCATTTTTTTTTCTATCTAAAACCCCGTTTTTATATTATAGTTACGTGTTGCATGTAACAAAACGATAGGAGAAAAAAAATTAACTTTTGTAAAGTAAGTAAAACCTTTTTTTTTTTTTTTTTTTTTTTTTTTTTTAGTTTTAGTTAACGATTTCATTGGTTTATCTTATAATGACATCCCAGTAGACGAAGGAAAAACATCATCATCATCATCATCATCATCATTAACTATTTTTTTACTTACCCTCTTTATATTTACTCCAGTACTGGAGAAAAACAACCGTTTTTCTATCCTTCTTTATTATTTTTTTTGCTCTACGTGTACGATCGCCCTTGATTTTCTTTTTCTCCCTGCCCTTGTCTTCCCTCTCTCTCTCTCCCTTCCTTTATGACCCCCACACGCGCCCCCCCCCCCGTATAAATAAAGACAAAAAAAAATTCATTACAGACATTATTGATTGTGTAATATTGAATATAATAGATGAATTGATTTATTATTCAAATTTTTTTTTAAAAATAAAAACAATTGTTTTTACTACTACAACAAATTCGGTGTCGAATGTCTCGTGTTAACCAAAAAAAAAAAATTATGTTAAAATATGTAATACGAATCCAAATATTATATTATTAAATCCTCATCACCATCATAATGATAATAATAATAATAATAATAATGATAACGATAACGACGACGACGAAAACGACGACGAAAACTTTTTAGAGCGCCCTTTTAAAATAATTAATAAAAAAATTTTTAATTAAATTTTTTTTCGTGTGAGAAAAAAAAAAAAAACGTGGCAGAAGATTTTTCATTTCTAACATGCTGGATTTTTACGTACTACTATTATCATTATCATTCTGATAACAAAACGTTGTAATTTAAATTGTTTTAATAAGAGTAACGTTAAAAGATAACAAAAAAAAAAAAAAACAAAAATAAATTTTTTCTCCTCGTGTTTTGTTTAAAAAAAAAAAATTTTAATTATTATTATTATTATTATTTTCTTATCTCTTATCAAAAACGATTATTTTAAATTTTTCTAACAACAAACAACGATCGTTTGTCGAAAAATTATAAACGAATGAAATAATAATAGTAATAATGGTGATGATGATTTTTTTTTGTGGGGGTTGCCAACTTTGTTTGTTGTCGCGAAAATTTAAACATGAGGAAATAATGATAATAAAAACCACGTTTTTATTAGCAAAACAAAAATTACTCGTTTGTATGGGTATTAATAATAATAATAATAACAATTTCATTCATCAAAATCGTAGGTGATGATTAAACGGCATAACTTTTTAGATAATATCTTTTATTTATTTATTTATTTATTTTATTTATTTATTTTTTTTTGCAAATAATAATATGTGTATGTGTGTGTATGTACGTAGCGATAATAATAATAAAGGTCAGTAGTACCGTGATGTGGAAAAACGTGGGAACGACCCATGAAAAGAATGCAAAAAACAAAACAATATGAAAATTGATACGAAACATTGAAATGATGAAAGGGAGGTTTTAACAAAAGATAAACATGATAAACATTAGTCAATGACGTTTTCTTTTTCGTGAAAACTCTGCGTTATTTTCTTCAATAAGAAACGGTCCTGCTCAGCTAAGTAGTCGTCGGCTAAGTTCGAATATCAAATTCACAAACACAGCTTTTATTGCATTCGTCGAGCAACTCACGCACACACACACTCAAACGCACTCACGCACGCACGCACGCACTCACGCAATCGGTTAAAAATAATAATAAAAAAAAGAAAAATGGCGGCAGGGTGAAAATTTAAAAAAATCGTGGCAGGAGTACATGAAAATTTTCATTGATAAAAAAAAAAAATTTTTTTTGTCGTTGTTGTTCTTGTTCTTGTTACGTACCGGTAAATCCAAAGAAAAGGTAAATGATTGGGTAGACAAATGACAAAAAAAGATTTTACGATGATGATGATGATGATGATGAATGATGGGGTGATAGGGGTGGTGGTGGTTGTCCTTTTTTTTTTTTTTTAGATTGACAGTAAAAAAGATTTGAAATCTTTAAGATTAAACGATTGTAATTTTTTTTTTTTATAGAAAAATTAGTTCAAAAAGAGTGAGAGAGGGGGGGAGGTACTGCTACCAAATTGTAAAACCTTAACGCATTTTAAGGTGTTAAAAAAGAGTGAGAGAGTGAGAGAGAGAAAGAGGGAAAATCGTGAAGGTTAGAGAACAAAACACAAATTCTATCACCCTTAAATATCTTAAATAATCTGGGATGAAGAAGATTTTTCGTACAAGATTTTACACCCTTAACATCAACCAATCTGATTGTGCGTAAACAGCATCCCTCTTTCTCTCTCTCTCTCTCTTTCTCATTTTTTCCCTTTATATTCCTGTTGCTTTTCTTTTCACGGCAGGTATTTTTTGTTAAACAAAAATTTTTTTCTATTTTAATTTTTTCCCATCCGGAAATGTTATAATTTCTAGAAAATTAAAAAGAAACGTTCGTCGCGATGCCCCCTCCCCCCGCTTAACAAATTTTATTCATTATTATTATTATTATTTAATTTCAAACGTAACGAAAAAAAAAGAGAAAAAATGGCGGGAGCGTATTTTAAAAATAATTATAAAATATATGGAAGTGAATATGTAAACACCGGATTTAAATTAGTCAATAATAATAATAATAATAATAATTTTTTATTCGTATGCGAAGAATGTTTGTTTGTTTGTTTGTTTGTTGGAGGAAAAAAAAAAGAAAACACGTTAAAATGTATATAAAAAGGTGCAAAGTAGAAAAAATTGATTCAGTAGCGTCGCGACGACGAATAGGAGATGAGTATTGAGCCTCACTAACAAAAGGGCGTTCCAGGGCCCTCCTCTTTTTGGATTACAAACCAACATCGAGTATATTTCCCGCACATATCTCGAAAGTCTTTGTTTGTTTTAGTGTTGTTTGTGTTGGTTGTTTAACCGGTGTTGTTGTTTTTTCTTTTTTTTTTTTTTTTTTTTTATTAAATATGGTATACTCGCGGTACTTCGGGTTTTTTTTCCGACGAATCGATTTACCATCGATACCGTTTCATTACGTGCGTAAACAATAATTTCTTTTTTTCTTTTTTATTTTACGCGAAATTAATAATAATAATAATAATAATAAGTAAAAAATGAATGTTAACGTGGAAAATTGCATCGAAGCATTATCGTCGCCATCGAACGATTCCACGTCTTGTCGTGGTACCGAACCCGGTCCATCGTTGAGTAATTTATGCGGGGGATCATACGCATTAGGACAGATACCTCAAACGATAATGTCGGAATTTATAGCGGCAAGTAATAATAACGGGAGCACCGCCACGAACAACAACAGCGGCAACAGCAATAATAAGAAAACTCTTTCTTTTTCACCGGATCAAATCGAATGCATATGCGAAGCATTGCAACAATCGAACGATTACGAAAAGTTAAATAAATTTTTAGAATCTCTTCCGACGACTGATAGATTGTGTAATAACGAAATAGTTTTAAAAGCTCGCGCGGTCGTTGCTTTTCACAAACAATCATTTCCGGAAATGTACGCCATATTGCAAAGTCATTCGTTTAACGTCCGACATCACGTCGAATTGCAAAAAATGTGGTATAAAGCTCATTATAAGGAACAGGAAAAAGCGCGGAAAAAAGAATTAGGTGCGGTTGATAAGTTTCGTTTAAGGAGAAAATTCCCATTGCCGAGAACAATATGGGACGGTGAGGAAACGTTGTACTGGTTCAAGGAAAAAGCGAGGAACACTCTCCTGGAATCCTTTAAAAAAAACAGGTATCCGTCGCAGGAAGACAAAATTGAACTTTCCAAAAGGACGGGCCTGTCTAAAACTCAAGTTAGTAATTGGTTTAAAAATAAACGGCAAAGAGATAGAGGAACTCAGGATCGCAGAAGAGAGTAAGAAAAAAAATCTATATAATTATAAATTTTCTCTCTCTCTCTCTCTCTTACTATCTCTCTCTCTCTTTCTCTCTTTTACTTTCTTCGTCCCGATAATTAAACAAATTTTTACAAATGGGCAAAATATTGAAACCTTTTCCGCATCGAGTAGGAAAAACAAAAAAAAAAAATTGCTGTGTGTTGAAATGTAGGAATAGTATTATTATTATTGTTTTCTCGTAACAAAGCCAACAGCGAAAGAACTTCATAGCATCACGTATGTTTTTTTTTTTTTTTTTTTTTTTTTTAACCATTTACGGTAAAAATGCTTTTTATTATTTAACTAATACACCACAGGACGCCACATAATTTTTTTAAGTTATCATCATCATCATCATTATCGACGTCGGTTTTCGTGGAGGGGATAAGCGGGAAGGGGGGGGAAGAAGGTTCCCCAGAAAATATTTATTTTATTTTATTTTGCGTAGGTTTAATTAAAATAATAATAATAAAAAAAAAAAATTTAAATTTTGCAATCACAGTCAAAATATCATCTTTCCAAGGATATTCTCTCACTCTCTCTCTCTCTCTTTCATTTTGTATTTTTTCACTCTCTCTCTCTCTGTTTTGTGTCAAAGATAAAAATGTAATTAACGAAAAAAAAACATATAAAGATAAATCGTAGACAAAACTTTACGAATGTTATTGTTTTCGTCGTTTGTCCAAAAAATTTTTTATGTGCGTCAGCATCAGCGATTTGCGACAGGAGTGTATGGGGGGTACATTTCGGGTGAAGATGAAAGACAAAACAAACCTGGAGAAAATTGTTCGGATAATGATTTAACGATTACATGGAGAAAATGTTTGTAAAATGAAGAGAAAGGGATGAAAGTTAAGGATTAACGAGATGATGACACGAATAAGGGATGAAAAAAGAAAAATCGGATTTGAAATTTTCTTTTCTTTTTGTTTATTGTTTTAACACGTTTATCGCGACAAATTATTATTATTATTATTGCGTAAATCGTTGTAGTTTAGGGTGGTTCCAGCAGAGTTGTTCTTTAGCGTTTCCGGTCGCACGTAAAAAATAATTTTCCTAATTTGTTCCAGCATCGGCTTCAATGTTCGTTTGTTTGTTTGTTCGTTGAAAAATTTGATTGTTTCTGTCGCGTTATTTAAACACAGGAGTACAGGGTAAAAAAAAAAGAGAGGAAGAAAAAAGAAAGATGGATGATGATGATGGTTTTCGGTTATGGAAATGGATTAACGGGCAAATTGTGTCGACCGTGTAAATTACTTTTCCAAGAACTATGACCCCCAACAAGTATTTAATTTTTTAATGACATCGGCTCGGACAACATACAAGAAAATAATAATAATAATAAAGGTTTTTTCTTTTTTTTTTCGGGTCAACAAAACATTTCGAATTCCCCCGTGGGCGTGGGCGTGTGTGCGTCGATTGTGCCACGAACCCAAAAACGTTTAAAACAAACTTGCCCAAAATTTTTTTTTTTTTTTGTCATTTTAACATCGTAATTAATTTACCGGAAAAAAAAAATCTAACGTAACAGATGCTGATTTTTAAACTTTTGGTTAAAATGCCACCACCGTCACCACCACCACCACTACCACCATCACCACCACTGCCCTACCTAAACCTATTATTCTTAAACGTTCCTTAATCGAACTTGATGCGTAATGACGTAACAAGGCGGAAAAACATAAAAATCTACGAAAATCGAGTAACGTGATAACAGTTGTCTTCTGCTACTGTTGCTGTTGCAGCAGAAAACTCGCGAATCGTACGAAAATTTCGCATAAGAACCTGATAAACTCACCTGATCGATGATGATGATGATAACATCCTTTTTAATTTCACATTGAAAATTTTCCTTGGTAACCTTTAAGCTTCGAAAAAAAATTTATTTTTCGATCAAATTACGTATAAAAAAAAAAAAAAAACAGAAATCACGTGACTTTTCGATCATTAGTAACGAAAATGAGGTAAATTCCGTTGTTGTTGTTGTTTTCCCTGTTGAAACATCGAAGAAAAAAAAAAAAAACTTTTACCAGATTTGGAACAGGAGGCATGGTAGTACGTGGTAGTAGACCTTAAATGAAAAAAAAAAATTTAACAAGGTGATAATTATTATTATTATATTGCTATTATTATTATTATTATAACCTTGTCGTTCGTTTAGGGTTTTGTGTCAAAATCAAAATCAAAATAATTAAACGTTTTGTAATTCACTCATATTCACTTTTTTTTTTTTTTATTGCAATACGGAAACGGGCAGGTTATCATATCCGGTTTTTAAATAATAATAATAATAATAATCATTTAAAAATTTCACCTGCCTTTAGCGTGAAGTCAATATTTAAAATCACCCTTAAATTTACAACAGATGTGACAAAGGAAAAAAAAAATTTTTCTTTTTTTTTTTTATTAACACGGAAAACAAATTAAACCTTAAAAGCACGCGCACGCACCCTCGCACACGCCTTTTTCTTCACGGCATAATAATAATAATAAAAAATTTGAAAATTTAAAATTTAAACAAATTTTTAGAAAAAAAAGGGATTCCCAAAAACAAAAATAAAAAAAAAAAAAATTCTCCAGTAAATTTATGTGCAAATGACCTTTTTTTCTTCTTCTTTCCTTTTTTTCGGGGTATATTATCATCATCATCATCATTATTATCATCATCGTCGTCTTCTTGTCGACGTCATTATGGGTTCCAAATGTTTTTTCTTTCCTTTTATTTTTTTTTACAATAACATTTATTCATCATAATATTATCCTATACTTACAATGATGAGGATTAACTTGTTAAACATTTTTTTTTTTTTTTTTTTTTTTGAAAAAGGAAATATTATTATTATTATTATTGTGTACCTTAAATCTCTGGTTTTTTTTCGGGGTATGCATAAATAATAATAATAATAATTCCAGGTGTCTCCAAAATTTTTTTTTTTTTTTATATTTAAATGAAAAATTTTGTTTTCTTTTTTTAGTTCATATCTCTCTCTTACACAGCCTCTCTCTCTCTTGCGTTTGTTGTTTGTTTGTTTGTTTTAATGATTTCACAGGCGCCAAAATAAATTTTCAATCGTTTTTTTTTTGTTTTTAATGTTAGCAATTTAAATTCTTTGATTAAACAAAACGATTGTAACATTTTTTTTTTTTTATATTCAATAATCGAAACGATTTTTTGTTGTTGAATGTGCGGGGGGAGGGGGGAAAAATTAATTTTTTTTGCGGGTGGTCGATCGAAAAAACAACAAATTTAACGACGACACCCACACACACAAAAAAAAAATTGTCGAATTTAAGAAAAAACTATAATTTCGTCGCGATTTTGTTTTAAACCCCCCTCTCCTCCACCATTCTTCCCCACCGCCCCCCGAAAAAGGAAAAAAAAATTTCATTCATTCGATTTCGATTCGTTTGTTTGTTTTTGTTTTTATCATGTTACGTTATCATAATCGAAAATAAATTTCAAATCGTTATTATTATTATTTAATAGTTAAATAAATAAAATTATTATTATTATTATTAATTAATAAAAGTTTTTGTGATGACGTAATCATCGGGAAAATCTCTTTGATTTTTCTTACCGCCACGTAATAAAAATTTTTATTTGATTATGATTATGAAACGCGAGATTTTTGTTAACTCAACGTTTTTGTTTTGTTTTGTTTTTCTTACCACCGGTAAACAACAACCAGGTGCAAAATCAAGGGCTACTATTTAAAAAATATTAATAATAATAATAATAATGATAATAATAATAATAATAATAATAATGATAATAATAATAATAATCACGTGGGACGGACCCGAAAAATTTTAATTAAAAAAAGATTTTTTAATTAATATCCGATTTATACTTTTAACATTATTTCCTCTTAAGAATTTTCTGGAAAATTTTTGGACCCTCGTCGTTTTTTTTTTATAAAAGTGACGTAATAATAATGATAATAATAATAATAATAATAATAATAATAATATTTTGTTAAATTATTTTTTTTAAAAAAAAAAGTAACTTACTCACTTTTTGGTTTGATTCCTAAAAAAAAAAAATTCATGACTTAATCAATTATTTTAAAGTAAATATTATTGAAAAAAAGAAAAAAAATTACGCCGATGCACTAAATGCAAATTTATTATTATTATTATTTTTATTATTAAGTAAGATTTGCAAAATTTTTAGGTTTTCAATTATAAACAAATTATTATTATTATTATTTTCGTATTTTTATTCAGGTATATGATAGAAATAATAACGCGTTTGATAATTTTTTTTTTAAAATTTTTCTATTGACCTGATTGATTGTTTTGTCGTTGAAATTTCGTTTGTTGTATCGTCGACCGAATTTGTTGTTTGTTTTGTGCAGTGTGAGCAGACGACGTTAAGGAAATTTTTCGAAAAAAAAAAAAATTTTTTACGTGGCAGATAAAAAGAGTGGGGGAAAAAAAAAAATTAATTTCCTCCCGGGAAATCCTCGCGTAACTGTTGGGTAATAAACAAACTTTGGATTCATTCAATCGATCGATTGATTGATTGATTGATTGATCGACATTTAAAAAAAAAGGATGTGTGACGACAAGGTATATAATTAAACAGGAAAATACTATTAGATTTAGTAATCGCTACTCCATTCATTTATTAACAACAACAACAACAACAACAATATTAATTACTACAATTACAAAACTTTTACGATCGTTTACATTACGGCAAAAAAAACAAAAAACAAAAAATTGTAACGCGCGTAATTTTAATAAATCAAAAATTTAATAATAATAATAATAATAATAATGATAATAATGATAATGATAATAATAATATCGATTTATTAATTTAATCGATGAAAGAAAGAAAGAAAAAAGAAAGAAAATCATTTAAAAATTATTTAAAAATAATTCAAATAAATATTATTATTATTTTTGAGAATTAATTTACTTGTTGATCATCTTGTTTGTTTTCCGTTTGTTTTGTGTTTGTTTTTCTTTTTTTTTTTTATCATAGTAAAGGAACTCGTATCGCATATAATAGTCAAAACAAAATAGTTTTAATGAATGTATATATACTACGTGCCTCTCATTATGACGAGTATACGTGATATCATTATTTAAAAACGATATTGAATCGATTACGATTAATTAATTATTATTATTATCATTATTATTATTAATTAACATTTTAATTTACTATTAAACAAAAAAAATGAAAAATCAATCGATGGGAAAATTACAAAAAAAAAAAAAAAAATAACCGACGGAAACGGAAGTTTTTTTTCCCGTAATATTATTTTGTTTTCCGTCCTTTTTTTTCGCGTGGTTTATTTATGGTTATAATTTTATCTCTCTCTCTCTCTCTCTCTTGTACCTTTTTTTGTATCTTTTTTCATTTTATATCGAATCAATTGTGTGTGTGACAAAAATAAATTCCTACTTCCGGTTGAATCGCGTTTTCGTTTTTATTATTCTGTGAAAATCGAATAAACTTTACGTGGTGGGTTGTTGTTGTTGTTGTTAGAACAATCCGTTTGTTCGTTCGAATACTATAACGATTGATTTTTAAGAATTTCATTAAGTTTTTTTTAAATTCTTTTGATGACTCCTCCCACTCCCTCCCACCCTCTCCCCTCCTCCCCACTACGAGATGTTTTTACAAGTGTTAAAATTTATTTATTTTTATTTCGTGACGTATCAAGTTTCGGCGTTTTCCAGAAAGAAAAAGAAAAAAAAATAATTATTCTTATGTTGTAAAAAAAAAAAAAAAAAATTTTTTTTTTTTTAATAAAGTTGAAGAGGTCAAACGAAATTATTTGTTTAAAAAGAAAATAAAAAAAAAAAAAAATAAGAGAAAGGAATGAAAGGGAGAAGTGGAAAATTAAAAAGAGAAAATGGAAAATGAAAAAGATAGAGAGAGAGAGGAAAACAAAGAAAGAAAAAAGATGGAAAGAGAAAAAATAGGAAAATTGTAAAAGAAAATCATCATCATCATCATCATCCAGTTCAAGCCTGGAATCATTTCTAGCTGACTCGTGTTGCCAGGGCGACGTCATCTCAGGTTACAGCATCTCCACGTCGTCCTCAAATAAACAAAAATCCCCCTCTTCCTTATTATCATTATTATTATTATTATTTTGTTCCACCAATATTTAATCTTTGCACAATGTTGTTCTTCTTCCTTTTTTTTGATTCCATGGAAAATTTCATCTTTTCTCCAGGATTTAATTGACTGAAAATATACATATATAAAAAAAAAAAAATTTTTTCTCTCTCCCCCTCTCTCTCTCTCTTTCTCTCTTTCTCCAAACCCCAAAATTATTTTATTTCATTAAATTTACACGGATTTTAACAAGATTTATCTCTCTCTCTCTCTCTTTTTTATCTCACTTAAATTAAAATCTTTGTAGGAAAAGATTTGTAAGAGAAAATTTTTTTTTTTTTTTTGTCGATACTAAATAATTAAATTAATTTTTGTTGTTTGTTGTTTGTTTTTTCAGTGACGTCAATAGAGACTTATCATGCATGGGAAGCGACAGTTTATTAAATTCACCAAATGCCGGATTGGATTTATCATCGATCGGTGATTTAAAACCAATGACGTATTCAGGAAAACTTTACGGTGACGTTTCATCGACGAGTAAACTCATAGCATGCGATTCAAAATATTATTCATCCGAATCGAAAATCTACGAAACTCGTCCATCAGAATATAAATACTATGGTAATTCGTTGCAATCCTCCAGGAGTTTTTCATCGGATTCCAGGTTCGGTCATTGCGATTCGAGTTCCGTCAAGTGCGAAACGGATGACGTACCTCCACCCCCTCCGCACTCGTACCATTCTTATTACGGTTACGATCCATCTTTACCCTCGCACATGGTCACTCATTCTTGAGGTAAACCACAATTTCCGACGACGATAGTTTTCTTGTTTTAGTTAACGTTTGTTTTCTCCCTCCTCTCCCCTCCCCCCGCCGAGTACCAAACCATCGAAAAATCAATCAATCAATCAATTAATTAATGCTATCGTTCACCAATCGATTTTTTTTATTTAAATATTTTTCTCGATGCGATTTTTAACGATTTTAAACGTGTTACGAATATGAAATTATTTTTTTTTTAACGTGGCAGCAGTGAGTGATGATGAAAAAATCAATTTTTTTTTTTTACGGGAAAAATTTCTTAAAAAACGAAAGTTAACTGTTGGAAAAAAAAAAAAATTATTTTTCGATAAAGTTTAAATTTTTTAATTTATCCCTTTCGACGACGACGAGAACGACAACAACAACAAACAAAAACAAACAACAAACACCTGAAAATCGATATCATATTTTAAATATGAAACTAATGTAATATAAAGTCCGAGTTCGAGAATGTTATGCAAACATTATGTATGTATATATATATATATATATAAACGTGAGTCAAAATCAATTAAAAAATTAATAAAATCAATAACAACAAAATAATTAAAAGTTTTTTTTTTAAATTTTACTTTATAATCGATGAAGAAAAGGTAATCACAGGGTAGGATTAAGGATAAACTTCTCATTAAAATATTTTCTTATTAATTTTTCAGTACAAATTTTCCCGTCCCTGTTCCCCTTAATCATAAACAACGAGGTTGAAAAAATGATTTTTTTAAAAAATGGAATTAAACATATTATTATTATTATTATTATTATTATTATTATTATTATTATTATTATTATTATCATTAATAATAATGTAACTTTTGTTTAAGTAAAAAAAAACAAAAAACAAACGAACAAACAGACAAACAAACAACAAAACAAAAAAAAATTTATTTTTTGTATTTAAAAAAATTGTAATTTGAATTTTAAAAACCTCGAATGTATTGTGAAAAAAAATTTTTTTTTTTTTCCGTCAGCCATTTTTGTTATTGATAAAATTCATTGTTTATGATAATGATGATAATAATAATAATAATAATAATAATAATAATAATAATAATTTTTATTTGTACATTAATAAAATCAAATCGATGATGATGATGATAATGATATTTTAAATTTATCAGTATATATATATATATATATAATTATTATAAATCGATAATTTTTTATTTATTTTCATACCGAACAAACAACAAACAACAATCGTTTTTTTCTCATATGTATATATACCCGAAATTATATTTTAATAATAATAATAATAATAATAATATGCAAACCTTATTATTATTTCCTTTATTATTAACATATTTAAAAAGTCTTATCGATAAATACTCACGTGAAAACAAACGAACGAATGATTATTATTATTATTATTATTATTATTATTATAACAATATAAAGGATGAGATATTAAAAAAAAAAAAAATTTCAAAACAATATAATTTTATTTAAACTTTTTATTTATATTAATAATATTAATAATAATAAATATACATATAATAATAAAACTTCTTTAATAAACAATATATAATATATATATATATATATATATATATATATATATATAAATGATAACACACTGCAACAATTGTTGTTGACATTATACTATATATATATATATATATATATATATATATATATATATATATATATATATATATATATATTTTCAAATTCAAAAATATATTTTTATATTATTATAGAGTTGGCAAATTTATATATATATAATTAAACGGATGATCTGATAATAATATATATATTTTTTTTTAAATTGTAAATATTCATAATCGATTCTCTAATGCCAACTCTTTAATATATAATATACACTTTAATATATATATATATAAAATTAAATACATAAAAGTGTGCTAATAAATATGATATCAAGTGGAAGACATAAGACTAGTATCATAGTATATTTTATATATATATATATATAGTAGCGATTTGTGCTTTAATGCTCGTGCCGATGCTGAACTTGTTTATATATATATATATATATTATTATTATTATTGAAAATTATTTTTTGATCGAAAAGAAACAAAAATTTCATACATGTGGCACAATATATTAATATATACGAGAGAGCATTTACGACGACAAAACAAAACAAAATGGCGTCTCACGAAAAAAAAATGGATTTTCGGTAAGTAATTATTATTATTATTATTATTATTATTATTAATTTAACCGAACGAAATATTCAAGGTTGTTAATAAGAAAAAAATAAAATTCAAAAAAGAAAAGAAAAAATATTATTATTATTATTATTTTGTTTTATTTTACGCGGGGTCGAAACTCAGGCACACGAATAATAATAATAATAATAATAAGGTATGTGCGGAATCAAATTACATTTGACTTGTTTTCGATTTTTTTTTTTTTTATTAAACCTGAATAAAAAAACGTAATGATAATAATAATAATAATAATAATAATAATAATAATAATAATAATAATAATAATATTTTTTGCGCGTACATTTTTAAATTTTTTCGAATTGGAAGGAGGAGGAGGAAATTATTTAAAAATCTTTATGTGGGGGGGAGTTAAGTAAAGATTAGGGAAATGTGATAACGCGTTACAATTATTATTATTATTATCAATAAATAAATAAATAAATTATTATTATTAATATTGTTTTTTTTTTTTAATAATTGAAACTCTTGGGTCTTATTATTAATATTATTATTTACATTAATTGAATTAATTATTATTATTATTAAACTATTTTAACGTTATGATATATTGACGATTATTATTTTTTTTATTGATAATAATAATAATAATAAATAAATAAATAATTAATTAATAATTTTAACAATACATACATGAGACGAAAGTAATTAATTAAATTTTTTTTTCTTCTCATTATTTAATAAATATTGAAAAATTATTATTATTATTATTGCGCTTTTTCTTTTCTTTTCGGGAGGTAGGGGAGGGGAAGGGGGAAGGTGCGCGTGTATGTGTGTGAGTGTGTTATCAATAATGAAATTTGATATAATTAATAATACATAGAAACAATTTTTAGAGTTTGACGCTTCACCTTTTGTGCTATCATAAATATAAACTAAATTATTTATTTAATTATTAATTAATTAATTAATTGAATTTAAAAAAATAAATTAAAATTATAAAAGTTCAGGTACGTGTGAAATATAAATAATAATTAACAGGTAATAATAAATTATTAAGGTAATAAAAAAAAATCACCTTCGTTTACAATAATTAATAATAAAACGAATTTAATTTTTGTTAACGAGGTCGAGAAGGGGGTTTTTTTAACGTAAATAATAATTTGGCAACAGTGTTTAAAAAACAATAACGTTGATGATTTTTATGTTGATGATGATGATGATGATGATAATAAAATGTTGTTTTTAATTTAGGTAATAACAAAAAAGGCGGAGAAAAGAAAAAAATTATTCCATGGCGTCGTATTGAACTTTTTTAACTTTCATGTATCTATAAACTCCATAACCGGCAACGGTTAAAAGTGTGATAACGGCAAGGGTGCTACCAACGGCTATGGGTGCTGTTTCATCTCTGTATGATTTTGCACCACCCGGAGAACAAACAAATTCTGAAAATTGAGTTTAAAACAAACAAACAACCGAATTAATGAAGCCTGAGAATTATCAGTTAGGCAATTTCATACACATTCATGTTCTTTTATTAGTATAATCGAAACCTCACCTGGTCCGAAATCGTCTTTTTTAAAAATGAAGGGTTGCATTTTAAGTTGTCTCAAACTGATTTTCGCCAAAAGATTTTCATCTTTCATTTCGATAACTATATCTTCTGAACATTTATACGATTTTCCAACGGGCGTTGGGAAAAGCATTTGAGTGTGTTCCGTCGGTGTCGTGAATTTATATTCTCTCGCTACGATAAATTATTTCATAAAATCATTATTATTGCATACTAGTATTACACAAAAAAAAATTTTTTTTCCCATATGTATACTCACGAGCTTTTTTTATATGTTCGAATATTTTCGTCACGGCTGTTGGATCAAGCGTTAATTCCATTTTCGAAACGTACCAATGTTCACCTCCCGGAGTCTTGTACCACGATAAATAAAAAATTTCCACGATTAATTCGAATTCGAAAAAAATTTATGCCAAAAAAAAAGAAATGATTACCTTCGAAAAATAAACGGACCATTTATAACCTTCCCAAATGACATCCATATACGCATCATCCGGTCTTTCACAATTTCCTCTTGTTTCGAATACTTCCGGTAAGTAAATAGGTTTTTCCTAAATTTAAAACAAAACCACGAGTTTAAAAAAAGGCGCAACTTTACTAATTTTTTTTTGTTTCGAAATATCTTTTATACCCTTTTTTCTCCTAACGTTGTATCATAATCGAAATCAATGAGACCATCAGTACTTATTAGAATACAAGCAGCTCCATTGTTAGAATTTAAACGATATATAATTGAAGAAGAATCATCATCTTCAATAGCAGACGATGATGGACGCGTTGGTAAACCTGACGTTACCGTAAATACTTTCAAGAAGAAAGAAAAGAAAAAACCGTTTACACAACATCATGTAATAAAGGAAACAGGTAATTGATATTATTATTATTATTATTATTACCTTGAGGTGCTCTTGTTGTCGATTTTATCTTTCTATCAATGGCCCCTAATTGTAAATTTTCTATAACTAAACCTTCAGGTAGCTTAAAGTAAATAAGCAGAAGATGAATAAATAAATAATAATAATGAGTAATTTTTAATTAAAATTTTTACAAAAAAAATTACCTTCGTTTGATAATCGGTTGTTGAATCCGTAATATTTTTTGTAGTTTCGCCTAACGATTTTTTAATAAAACCTTAAAAAAAAGAAATTTTTAATTTAAATTATATACCAATAACAAAATGGCCGTCGATAGGTATGTAAGTAAATTGTTCGTTATTAAATAAATAATTACTTACCGAATAAAAATAAAAAAAATATTATCGTAAAATTTTCTACATTCATTTTATATTTCTTTTTTTAATTTAAAATTAAAATTAATAAATAAATGTGATAGAGTAGATAATAATAATAATAAAACAAACAGTTCGCCACGCAAACTCTTTTAAAAAATGAATGAATGAATGAAATTGTTTTTCTTTTTTTTATCCTTTTTTAAATTTGAATTTCTTCTCTATGTCAACCATTGACTTGAATGAGGTGGTTGAACAAAAAAAAAGATGGCGGATGTGTTTACGCTTGCGTCATATATTTTAATTTTAAATAAAAAATCAATAATTATTTTTTCTGTTTTTTAAATTATCGAACGATTATTTTCTTCATTTATTATTATTATAAATTAATAATAATAATTACGTTGTTTAAAAAAACGAAATGCTTTTTGAAAATTTCGAAATGCGTTTTTCGATTGTTTTGAAGTAAAAAAAATCCGTTATGAAATTGTTGTTTCGTTTTCAAATAACGGTAATTCACTTCTTAATATAAGATTTTGTTATGACGCTATTTTCGAAACGTTACGTCGTAGAAGGCGGTGAATTTTTTTTTTTTTACTTTACTTCTTATTATAATATTATTTTTACTTCGAGGTACTTCGAGTTTGGGTTAAGCGTTTCTTTTTTTTTTTTTTTTTTTTTTTTTTGACAACCGCGATCGTAGTATTATGTGTTGTTGTTTGTTGATGTTGAGGTTATTATTATTATTATTATTAAATTACATTTCAAATGTTGTTCTTTTTTAATTATTTATATTATTTTTATTATTATTTAAATAAATTTCATAATGGATTTTTCATCTTTATGGTAAGTTATTAATTAAATTTTATTTAGATTTGTTGTGATTTTTCATTTTGAATTTTTTTTTTTTTGGAATTGAGATATTACAACAAACGATTTGTTTGTCGTTTGTTATTGTATTGACAACCGTAAACGAATTTGTATAAATTTAAATTATTTATATACTCATATTTTAAATTAATTTGATTTATTAGTTTTATTCATGACACCAAAATGACCAATCATTGATGTTTTGTTTGTTTCTTATTTTTTTTTTTTAATAATGTTTGTTTGTTTGTTTATAAATGACAATCAAGTTGTTAAGTAACAAACAAACTTATGGATAAGTTAAAATATATATATATTAAATGAGTAGTTATTAAATTATTAAATCATTTCAGTATGTTTTGTTTTGTTTAAAATTTTAATCATGTTTCATGTTATCAGTTTTTTTTTTTTTTTGAAAATTGTTGATGTTGTTGTTGTTTGTTTGTTTTAAATCTAAAATTTTTCTCATGTCCCCACGCATATGAACACCGTATATACAAACTTGTTTGTTTGAAAAAAGATTTAAAATTTGATTTATTTAAAGATTTAATAATTTGATGATGATTTATTTTTTAAATTTTCTTTTCATAACATAATTTTCTTTTTTCTTTTTTTTATTAAGTAACAAAAGAGAGACACAATAAAAGAAAGGGAAATTAACAACAACTACCGGGTTGTTTGTTTAAAAAAAAAAATTAATTTGTGGTTGTTGAGTCTGTTTTTTTTTATAAAGATACATTCGGTGAAGGACACATTTAAATGTTTTATATTTAAATCCATTATAAAAAATTTCGACACCGTGAAACATCATCATCATCATCATCATTATTATTATTTTTTCTTAATTCGGATTGTTTTTATGTAATCGATGAAGTGTGTATTAAATAAAATAAACCGGAAGTGATGAATTAACAATGGCAAATTTATCCGTGCTAAAAAATAGTAAAAAAAAAAAAAAAATTTACGTACGAAAACATAAATATACAGGTGTGGCTTTTTTTTTGTATAAAAAAAAATATAAATCGCGTGTTTGTTCTTTCGTCTGTCTGTCCGTTCGTCTGTTTGTTTGTTTGTCAACATTTAAAAGTTTTTTTTTTTTTTTAGGGGATTCCCATTAACTTTAAAACAAGTTTAAACATGCTTTGTTGTTGTGAACTCAAATACCTGATTTAAATACCCGTTTCTAACATGGTTAGGCCCTATCATTATTATCATCATCATCAT